AAAGGAGGGAAGGGTTGGGTTTTCTAGGGTTGTTTTTTTTTTTTCTTTAAGGCAATTGAAATTGCCGCTTGGATTGGATTTGGAAGTCTGAGAAAGGCAATAAATATGGACAGGCAAGTTCTCTAGGGATCTGTGCAGGTGTCCAGCCTGCTTACATCTGCAGGATGTGTTGTCGGAGCAACCACAGCCAGCTCACCTTTTGCTACCGAGCTCCTTTGCAGAGGCAGAACCCAATTCCCTCTATTCTTATCTGCTGGAAGGAGTTTTACTGCCTCTTTCTGTTTCTGTAGAAATGTAGACTTGCTTTGGAGAGCAGCTGTGTCCATCTGTGCAGCCTGCTGTGGCGTGCAGCATCCTGTAGTTGTTTTTCTGTCTGTAAATAGTCAGAAGCTGCTCAGGTCGCCTCGAAAACCAACTCGGAAGATCTCCAAGATTCCTTTCAAAGTGTTGGATGCCCCAGAACTGCAGGATGATTTCTACCTGAACCTGGTGGACTGGTCCTCTCTGAACGTGCTCAGCGTTGGCCTCGGGACGTGTGTTTACCTATGGAGTGCTTGCACCAGCCAGGTAAAGGCAGAGTAGGAAACCCATTGCTGCAGGTGTCATCCAGGCACAGAGCTGTGGAAATGCACTGTGAGCAGCCCGGTGTCTGCAGTGCTCTGTCCCAAGCCACTCCCTCATCAGAGCAGCACCTGCTGGTGTGTCTTCAAACTAATGGTGCCTTATTTTGCCAGGTGACCCGGCTGTGTGATCTCTCTGTGGAAGGAGACTCTGTGACATCTGTGGGCTGGTCAGAACGGGTCAGTATGACACAACCTGTAACATCAACTGAAAGTTAAATGCTATCGCTGGAGCTGGGTGGCCCTTCCTCACCAGTTTTAGCTGCTTTGGTTTATTTTTCTGTATTGCCCTGAATTCCCTGTGTGCTGTAAGTTAAATCTGTCTCTGCTAAATGAGGGGGTAAAGAGAGAAACCTCTTGGATTTTGTGGCTTTTGAGGTATTCAATAAGAGAGATGGGAGGGAGAAAGAGCCAGGTCACTTTTCTAGCTCTCCACAATGAAGTGCTACAACAAATATGTTCCATCCTGGCTACGTGGCTCTCTCCAGCAGGGAGAAGATGGAAGATAGAAGAGCTCTGGATGCTTTCCGTCTCATGGGATTTATCCTGAGGCTTTTCCTGAGCATATAGCTTTTTGTGTTACATCTGTCTATGCTTATAGCTTTACTGATGGTGGTTTTCTGTTTGTCCAGGGGACTCTGGTAGCTGTTGGCACTCACAAGGGCTTTGTACAGATCTGGGATGCGGCTGCAGGAAAAAAGCTCTCCATGCTGGAGGGACACACGGCCAGAGTTGGTAAGGAGGTGGGAGGTGGAAGATCCTGCATGTTTAGCTCCTGGATTTATTTTTTTTACTCTTCTCCTACCAGGGATCTGCTAGAAATAGCAGAGCTTCAAACAGCCCCACAACTGATATTTATGTCCTGCTGTGTCCTGAGCTGCCTTGAAAATGTTGCCACCTAGTAATTGTGGTGTTCTGATCTTGAGTGTGGTGGTGTTTGAGTGCTTCTTGCAGCAGGTGTTTCCTCCATGTCTGAGGCATTTCAGTTTGGTTACAACACTGCTTTTCGTTGCCACCTGCTTCCGCTTTCAGCCCTGCAGGCAGCAGCTTCACACTGAGATTTCCAGTTCTGTGCATTTCAGGGACTGTTTTGTTGTTGTTGTTGTTTTTGTTGTTGTTTTTATCAGAGGCATTGAATCTGAATGCTGAACGATTTGGGGCTGTGAGATCCCTGCTGAGTTCAGCCTTTGTGCTTTACTGCCTTGTGAGATGGGGTTGGTCTCTCATAGCTCTGGTAGCTGTGCTCTGCCTGCAGGGCCCCCAAAACGCCCTCTCACACCTCTTGCCTCCCTCTCTCGCAGGTGCCCTGGCATGGAACGCAGACCAGCTGTCTTCTGGGAGCAGAGACCGAATGATCCTCCAGAGGGACATCAGGACCCCCCCCCTGCAGTCGGAGCGGCGGCTCCAGGGCCACAGGCAGGAGGTGTGCGGGCTCAAATGGTCCACAGACCACCAGCTCCTGGCATCTGGGGGGAATGACAACAAGGTACGGCGCTCAGTGCTGCTCACGTGAGGCTCAGCATTTCTCCATCCTCACCGAGAGCTGTCAGCCCCCCCCTTTCTTTCAGCTGCAGTGTGGAGGGGCTCTTATTTCAATTGCTGGGCTGTGTCCAGCTGTAAATCACGCTAAGCTTCTCCTCAGTCCTCTCTCTCTAATAATATTAAAGAGGCAAATTTAATTTTGCTCCTGTGTTTGGCTAATTAAATCCATAGCTTGACTCGGTTTTGAGTTCAGTGAGGCTAAGCTGTGCTTCCTGACTTGGTTTAGGTAGCGTACAGTGAATAATGTTCATGCATGCAGAAGGAAACAGAGCTTAGGAGCTGTGTAAGTTCTGATACCTACAGCACAGAGCTGTGTCTCACTGAGTGCCATATGGAGGAAGCATCTGTTCCAAAGCAGCAGCATTCGGAGCCCTTTGGAGCGGGTTGCTAGGTAGTGACTGTAGCCAGTGCGACAGCATGGTTGTACCGAGCTCCTTGTCAGGGTGTCTGCAGACGAATTTGAGCTGTGTTTTTAGCTGTGTGTTGGAACAGTGCGGCCCCACAGACAAAAGGTTTTGAGGTGTTGTTCAGAGATGCCGGATCTTTGGCTTCATGAGCTTAACCTGAGTGCTTCTGTGGGCCGGTGGCTTCTCAGCTGGGCTCAGTGCCCGAGTGAGACGGGGGTCAGGGCTGAGAGAGCCGGGCTGGCTGTGCTTGGGCGGAGCTGTGGGAAGCCATCACATTTCCCAGCCGCCCTCATCAATCCCAGAGCAGCTCTCGTGCTCTGTGGGTGTTGCGGACGCGCGACTGTGGTGCGGCTGTGCTCACATCTCCTCTCCTCTCCTCCAGCTCCTCGTGTGGAACCATTCCAGCCTGAGCCCCGTGCAGCAATACACAGAGCACCTGGCTGCAGTGAAAGCCATCGCCTGGTCTCCACACCAGCACGGCCTCCTCGCCTCCGGCGGCGGCACCGCTGACCGCTGCATCCGCTTCTGGAACACGCTGACAGGGCAGCCCCTGCAGTGCATCGACACCGGCTCCCAGGTGTGCAACCTGGCCTGGTCGAAGCACGCCAACGAGTTGGTGAGTCCTGTGTGCCGCCCTCGCTGCTGACCTGCCTCGGGGTAGGAAGCGCCACGTCCCTTTCCCTCTCTTCCCTTTCCCTCTCTCCTTCCAGGTGAGCACCCACGGCTACTCGCAGAACCAGATTCTGGTCTGGAAATACCCCTCCCTCACTCAAGTGGCCAAGCTGACGGGGCACTCGTACAGAGTCCTGTACCTGGTAAGCAGTGGCTGTGTTTCCAGAGCAGCTGCTGGACGTGTGCTGAGATGAGCGCTGCCAGCTGCCTCTGCTCGTGGTGGAGATGTGTGAGCGCAGCCCTGCAGGTGATGAGAAAAGCTCTGCCTGCTTTCCTTGCCTGCAAGGGATGCTTTGATTTACTGCTATGGAAATGTGAGGCTTTATTAATGAACAGCAAAGCTTGCCAGAGCTCTTCAGAGGGAAGCACAGGATCTCTCCTCATTCCCATAAGGCACGGTCACTGTTTGTTGGTAACTGCAAGCAGGGAATGACACGATGCCTTCAGCCTTCCTAATTCCATATCAAAGCACCTGGTGTAGGTAGGAGATCCGGGTGGATTAACTGCCTGCTTACCTTACATTGGGCTTTTGGCAGAGTGCTGGCAGGTGATAAATACTGCTGATAGTGTTTTGCGAGGTGGATTCCAACCCAGCTGACTAATGAGTGGCATTTACCAGCTCTGTCAGCTTCCTGCCTCAACACACGTTTGTAATGTGGGGAGGAATGGCCGCAGTTATAGCTGGCACGGGGAAGGCGAGTCGAATCTCATGCATTCCAGTCAAGGTTTGTTTTCAACCTCAAGGATGCGATCGGGGCTCAGGGCTGCTCTCTTGGCTGCAGGCGATGTCCCCAGACGGGGAGGCCATCGTGACAGGAGCTGGAGACGAAACCTTGCGCTTCTGGAACGTCTTCAGTAAAACTCGCTCCACGAAGGTAAGGGTGTGTGCAGCCGCAGCAGGAATTCCGGCTGTTTGCTCTCTTCTTCAGCCTCACCTCTGGGTCCTTTAACCTCACCCTGCGGATTGAGGGATGGTTGCAATTAAGAGTTAAACTAGGCTGCAATATAAAAGGCTTTGCAGTCATGAGACACAATAAAAGGCTGGCTGTGCACACGCAGGGCAGCGTGACAAGGCATCATTCTGCCAGCTGCCCTGGAACTGTGCTCACCTTGAGCCCACCGCCATCCATCACTGCTGCTGGGATGCGGTCAGCTGACGGTGTCCTCATATTTTATTATCCTTCAGCTCCTTGCTTAATTGCTGCAAGTGGTGACTGGGGGTAGCAGCAGTGTGCTGTGCCCACGTGTGGCGCAGAGAGCAGCGCTGAGGCCCCGAGGAGGGCTGTTGGTGTGGGGCTGTGGTGCAGCATTGCAGCACTGCACACCGATGTGGGAATGGCACGCTTGCCTGCCACGCTCCTTGTTATCAGTTGGGGGGTGGGGGAAGGAAAAAAACCACATGGGAATATTGGTGTTGGACTTTGAATGTGGTGCCCTGAGATGCCTTGGCAGCGTGGTGGTGGCGGTTGAAGCTCTGCAGTGCTCACTGCTGCTTTACCTTTTGTTGTAGGAGTCCGTATCCGTTCTGAACCTCTTCACCAGGATACGGTAAAACCCCCCCACGCTGCGGCCCAGGAGAGCCCAGCCTCACGCAGCAGGATGGAACCACTGCTTTGGTGTGCATGGGACCCCAGAGAGCAGCCGGGAGGGGAGGGAGCCCCGCTGGGCCTGGAGGACGGAGCCACAGGCACTGATTAAACAGTGCTTGTGAACGGCGCTGGGACAGCGTTTGGCTGGGGCTGGGGGGTGGGGGGTGGGAGGGAACTGCCCAAGGTTCATGGATTTGTCCTTTGTCGAAGGGGTGCGGGTGGAAGAGGTCAAAGCGGCGCCCTCCAACCCTTGTTTTTTCTTTTGTACTGGAGAAAACGTGTTTACATGGAGCACTGAGAGCGGACCAAGGCCATCCCAACTGCTGTGTTGTAAGCTCTTAGGAGAGACGAGAGTATCCTTGCCCCTGTGGGGCAATGCCCCGGCTGAGCCTTGGCCTCTCTGCTATCTAAAGGCACTCGTTAGAGCCTGGGATCCCCGTTGCACCAGAGAACCACTTGTTTCCTCCGAATGAAGCAGGTACCACAGTGCTGCTCCGTGAGGCTGCTGGGTTCTGGCCCGTTTACCAGCCGCTCCAAACGTAACATCTTTGAAGAGGCTTCACCTGGGAGGGCATGCGCTCAGAGCAGCTTCAAATGGCTGTGGTGTGCTTTAGGCCAGTCCTTTATTTAACAGAGAGGGGAAAGAAAACCAAACAAACACAAAACAACGAAACACTGGCTTTCAAAGCGAAGCGATGTGCAGGCGGAGCTCCCCGGCTGCGTGCTGGGTTGGTTCCTGAGGATGGCCTCCCGAGGACAAAAGCAGTTGCGATGAGCTTGAGAAACAAAACCACTCCTGTGGGGTCTGGTTGATTTCAGAGGGAGCCCGGCCTCTTGTGGCTGGAAGGAAGGGGGGAAAGGCCGCGCCGGGGTGAGAGGGAGGCTCTCTGTGCGAAGCCAGGCAGGATTTGGTGCCCTTTTGTGTTTTTTTTCCTTTCTGTTTTTTAATCTCCTCGTCGATGCCGGGGGACCTGTTGATTTTCTTTGGTGTTGAAGCTGTGTGGAAGAGAGTCTGTGTCTGCGCCCGGGGTGCTGAGTGCCGCGGGCTGTGCTGCAAAGCGCTCACGTGTTGCTTTTAATTTAAGGAGAAGCTGTTCTGCTTGCAGCAGCCTGTTCTGTCTCCCCGTGTCTGTGTGCCAACGCTGTGCCCTCCCTCCCGCAGCGCCTCTGCTGGCTGTTCCTCTGCTCGGGATTTCCCTGGCTGTGTACACAGACCTCGACCTGTTCTGTAGGCTGTAGGGGCAGCGCTTCTGTGGCTGCACGGCTGTGAGCCGCCGCCTCCAGCAGCCCCTCCTGTATCACTGCGGTGTTGTTCTACAAACCCATGTTGGCACAACCGCCCGGTTCTGGCAGCAGGAGCACAGCACTCGGTTCGGGCTCGCTCTGAAGGCCTCCCGATGCATCTTCCTTGATTATTTTTTTTGGCACTGTTAAACGTGGTGGTGGAGCACTGAGTGGATTTGATGGGCACAGATCCCACCCTTGGCTGCTTGGGTGTGGGGTGGGGGCTCAGCTGTTGTGTGGGAGCTGAGGGGGGCAGGGGGCGAGTGGGGCTGCGTGCGGGGCTGCGTGCCTTCCTGCTGCCCCTACGGAGCAGGGAAAAGAGGAAAGCCTTCATCTGTATTGTCTGTGAGCAGGGGGCAGCCCGGAGTCTGTGTGACAGTCTGTGACCGTGTGGCGTTGTTAGATATACAGCATCGTGTGGTGGGGAGGGGGGAAAGAAGAAGAAGAAAAAAAAAGAGGAACAGAAACAAGTATTGAGTTGTAACTTTTCCATGTAAAGCGTTCTAACTGGCATTAAACTAGTTGTGAATTGACACTGCTCGGCTCTTCTCACCTCGGCGTCCGGGGGGCACCCCGAGCTCCGTGTGGCCGGTGCCGTTTGGTGCCGTTTGGTGCCGTTTGGTGCCGTTTGGTGCCG